ACCCTAATTAATACGGGTCAGTTTCTAGGCTATAGATAATTTGCACCAGTAGATGCAACACATACAGAATCAATTAAAACATTCTTTTTCAGAGGGCCACTTCCTCCAATAGCTTGGCATCTTCAAATGGCAACCCAACCGAAGTTAAGGTAGAAATTTCACTTATTGATTTTGGAGCTGCTCCTGAACCTGCACCAACTGCTGTATCACAACCAACTTCATCGGGTGCTGATAATTGGGCAAATTTTGAGTCAGTGCCAGTGAAAGCACCTTCAAATGCCAACCAGCTGGATGTACTTTCAGAATTGATGACTCCCTCACCCGCCCTGGGAGAAAATAGTGCAAGCTCTGCTCCTGTTGGCATCTTTCCAGCTTTGAGTAGATCTTCACCTATTCCAGCCGATGTTTCCCACTTGAACAGTTTTGGTCCAAGTGCATTTCCTCCTGGAACGACATCCTTATTGCAAGTTGGGGGGAGTTCTGTCCCGTCGACACATGCTGCTGGAGGGCAATGGTCCAGCGTGCAACCTCAGCATTCATCTCTGCTAGCAGTTACTGGGACCCAACCTCTTCCTCATCAGTGGAACCCAGTCATTGAAGGACGTACGAACAATCAGGTATTCAGGTTTGCTTTCTAATTTTACCTTGAAATGTTAAATCATGACTCTCTTGCTGCCTTCAAATGCCTGTGCTTATTTTTATTTTTTATTTTTTTGCAGCAATGGAATCACATAGGTCCATCAGGGATTCTGGACACAGCAAGGACGCAAGGTCCTCAAGTTTTAGCTGAGCATGCTTTGAATTCCACTTCTGGAAATGCCCATGTATGTGATTCTAGATCTGGTGGGAGAAGAGAACTTCCTGCAGTAAGCTCTATGTGTTGATTCAGACTTATTTGACCTCTCTTGTATATTCAGTTAGTACAGTTACTCTATGAGTTCTTTTGTTTTTGTTAAAAAATTGTCATCTTATGATTTTTCCTGCAGGATTTGTTTGCTGTAACCTATCCATCCATGTATGCACCAGTACAAGGCTTGTATGCTGCTCCATCACATGGACATGGGTTCTCCATGCAATATCATAATATGCAAACGGTATCTATGCACAACACAACTTCACGTATCACGTTGCCTGATCCCTTCTTAGTGTTATCTACCAATCTCTGCTGCTGCAAAGTATTAAAGACAGTTTATATGTTTATCAGCAGACACATACTTCTATGCAGCCGATAAAATCATCAAATCCTTTTGACACCACCAGTGAGCCATCTCCTTTACGATCTTCTACGGTGAGCAAACAAAATATTACTCAAGTGTCACTGCTTATTACACTACCACAAGCGGGATCATGCTGAAAATGAAAACACTCTCACACACTAAAATGAAAGCGGTTTTATCACTCAGCTAACCCAAGATTATTTTAATGTCAATATGTTTAGTACATATGAGAATCTTAGGTACTCTTTACTTCATTGTTGCAGTTTCCATCGATGGCTTCATTACAAGGTGCACTGCCAAGCATGGGCCCTTCATCAGGCCTGCTTCACACATCCAGCCTTGGAGCCCCACCAACTTCCCATGTACACAGCAGCGCGCCTCAGCAGCCACACTCTTACGTGTCAGCACTCCCTCCAAGTAGTAACTTTTTTTTTTTCCCTCCCTTTTCTCTTGCTTCATTTATCCATGTTTTACACATGATCTGATTTGCCTTGATTCTTAGATTCATATATGAGCCAGCAGCTGGCGGGTAGCCTGTCACAGAGGTAAAAACTCTTTTTTTTCACAGAGGATTTGCTTTGATTCTTAGATCTGTTTTATGCATATGTTGCTACATGTGCCAATTTTGTTAACTTTTTGAAATATTTGCAGACCAAATAATCCTGCAGGCTATGGCCTTCCTGGGGCTGCTTTTGCAGACATGAACTCAAACCAGCAGCTTGGTGCGGGGCTACATGCAGCAGCACCTCCTGCCCAGAATACAATCTCTCCTGCTGGGAACCCATTTGGGTGAATCGAATGCAGTTTCCCTTTTTTGACATGCACATCTTGTTGCTTTGGGTGTGCTGCATAATATATTACCTGGGGAATGGATATGGATTATGCTATTGGAATCAAATATACCAAGGGAGATCAATTCCATAACTGCTATGCGCTGAAGCAATTAAGGCACCAAAAAGTGTGATTGATTATTGGGGCTTGTGCAGTACACACTCATGTTCGCGAACTCATTTTTTTGTGCTACATATATGCATACCATGTTTATCATTATTTTAATAGTATTTGTGGTTCTCATTTATTATCCTCTATTCATTTTCATGTTAATGGTTTAATGAGTGTATTGTTTTCAAAATAGGTTTTTTTTTTTTTCATTTTCTTGGTTCTTTGTATCAAACTAGATTCTCACCCGTGCTATGCATGGTACAATAAATAATACTCTGTATCTAATTAATTTGAGTTTTTATTATAATGATTTTGTGCTTAAATATACTTTCTATATATAATAATATAAAGTAACAAGGTGTGACACCTTGCGTTTCCCTCTAAATAGACATTTAATGCTTCATACCAATTTAAAAAAAAGAGTTACATGAATATTGGAGTAATTGGAAAATTTTCAATTCAAAATAATCTATAATGATGATGATGATAGATAATAATAATTATTTTTATTATAACTTTATAAAAGTGATACATAATTGGCAGGACTTCACTTAACGCAATGAAATAAATAAGAACGTTTACAATATCTATAATAATCTATAATCTATAATCTATAATCTATAATAATAATATAAAGTAACAAGGTGTAACATTTTGCTTTTCCCTCCAATTAGACATTTAATGCTTCATACTCATTAAAAAATAAGAGTTACATGAATGTTGGAGTAATTGGAATATTTTCAATTTAAAGTAATCTATAATGATGATGATAGATAATAATAATTATTTTTATTATAATATAATAATAGTGATACATAATTGGCGGGACTTCACTTAACGCAAAGAAAAAATCAGAACGTTTACAATATTTTGATTTAAATGTTTTCAATTATAAGCTAGACCACACCAGATTAAAAGAAACTACACCAAATCAGATCAAATTTAAATACAATAGACTTGATCAGATCAGAATAAGTTAGTAAAATATACATACATCCGACACTTACCAGACCAGATCAGTTTAGGTCATCAGACCAAACTTAAGCGGACCCGATCATAAAACTTTAGTCTAATAAAAAACATCATTGTTATTGTCTTGCACTACAGTAATAGTTATATTATTAATAACAATAGTCTTCTATAATAATATAAAATAACAAGGTGTAGCTTGCGTTTCCATATTTAATGATTTCATACTCATTTTCTCTAAAAAATAATGTGTAAATTAATAGTTAGCAATTAGTAATTATAATGTAAAATTTTGATTTTTAAAGTTATACTATCAATTAATGTTTTTGCTTATTGGATGTTTACAAAAGATTTATCAGTAACATTTTTAGCGTTCCTCAATTGCATGAATGCTTTGTTATGTATATTTTATAAACACAAATACGTAACAAAATATTTATATATCTAATAAAAAGTATTTTTATTATTACGAAATGATCCCAACTTTATCCAACTTTGTGCTCTGAAAAATTCATTCCAAATTTTTAACATATGTAAATCTGAGTTAGTTAAACTATTCATTAGATTTCTACTGTCATCTAATGAAATGGTTAAACATATAACATATGCATCCCGTGCAACGCACAGGTAATGAATCTAGTGGAAATGTAATAGTGCACATGGAAAGATAATACAATGTAATATGCACTGACTAGAGTTTCGAAGCCTGAGAGCTTTTTTTGGAAAAGGTGTTGCATTTTTTTGCAAGGAAATAACTTAATTAATTATTATTAATAAAGATTACAAAGACAACTACAGTCATATAACTCAATGCTACAATGATATGAGACATAGAAGCGGACGATTCAAAATGAAAACGCCGAATCGTTAATCCCACAAAGAAGTAGATTCTACCCGTGGATTGATTGCTCCTCCTACGATCACAATATTTCTCAAACAAATTATTGAACTTCCCAATTTGTCCAGCCACCGATAAGGAGCCAAGCGTAAAATTTGTTCCGATTTGACCAGCCATCGGAAAGAAAGTACTCAATGTGATCCCATTTACCTGGAACGGTAGTGGTTCTGGAGGAGGGCGATTTGTCTCAATATTGGCACAGAAGAAAATCATATTCCTGATTAATGACGAGATCAATGCAAACCTCTTATAAGCACATAAGAAAACCCGACTGAAGATGGCGGGGAATAAACATCTAGCAGACGATACTTCGCCGCCAAAAATAATATCCTTATACAACGCTAGAAACGAAACATATAGATAAAATTGAAAACACTGATTAAGAAGATATATTTTCATGATTGAATCATAGAAGATTGAAAGAAGAGAACAAGAAGAAGAGAAAAGGAGGCGGCGACTAGGGTTTACCCATAACTGCTCCTCTCTCTAGCGAAGGAAACTATAGGAGCGGATATAACTTGAAAAATTTGGAAAAGTTGTTGCTATACGAATTTAATCTTGGACCGCTTATGTATTTTTTTAACAAATCAGATGTTTAATATGGAGTAGTTTGATGAGTTTATTCTTTTCTTTTTCATGGTTTTTTGGTTAACCGATTAGTGGTAACCGAAATTTTGGTTAACCGATACCCGGTTAACCAATGTTACAGTATAGATAATGGTACTAATATATATTAACCAACATCGCGGTTAATTGAAAATTGGTTAACCAAAGCCTGATTTACCGACCATGCTCACCCCTACGGCCGGCCGGTCCCATCATTTGAGAGGAGCATAGAAAGGTCAACTCAACTGGCGAGTTTGAAAGATCACTCCCTTGGTAATCTCTTCCCAAGTTCATCAACGTTCCTTCACAGAAGCACCTTTACCACTACTTTTAAAGAGTAGCTACCATTATGTGAACAGTCATGATATGTTTGCATTGTTTTAATGTGCAATACCAAATAGGCTCATAGTGCAGATTTTATGTGAATTTGGGCTACAAATATATCATTGTTGGTAAAGGTAACCTTCAATACATTGTACTTTTGTGCATTGAATTCATTTTTACAAGTAATGAAAAAATCCTGCGACTCAAAATTACATAACCATGCACTTTTTCTCATTCCAAACCCAATGTAATGGTGTATGTATGTATCACTAACATATGTTTCTGTCATCGATATTTGTAGCTTTGACGGAGCTGCAGCACAAAGAATGAGAGGTGAATTTCCTAGCTAAGGCTTTAATTTGAAAGTGAAGAAAACGAATCTTGGCAGGGGTTAGGTTTCGCCTGCTTGCTTGGCTTTCCATACAACTGGGGCAACCAACATCCATACTGTCCGCGCACAAGGCAGGCAGATGTAAGTATTTTATTTGCAGCAAAAATTTTGTAACTTGAATGAGCTAGTTAGTTAGCATATACTTACTATACACACAAGCAGCTAACCACTCGTTCACTATCCTCACCCAAGTACTTGTCCACCCAATGTCAATTGTGAACCTGCACCAAAATCAACCCTTTAGCTCCAGGCCACTATATATAACACCAACAACTAGCTCTAAACCTACTTTTTCATGACTTGGTGAGCATTCCAGCCGATCAATAGCATTGCAAAGTACATCGCGCCTGTCGCAAAAACAAAGTGGAAGAATCCAAAACCATATGGAACGTGATCCTCCTCCTCCTCCTCTACTTCTACCTCCGAATCCTTCCAGAACTGAACCTTTTGTTGCGAGAGATCGATCAAAGCTTTGGGTCAGATAAATCACACCGTGTAAAACACTTAAAAAGTAAAGATTATTACGCAGACCTGAAAGCATTTAGAATCAATTCCTGTAGAAAACGTTGCAACCACAATTGCAAGGACCGCAACAATAAAGCTCTGCAAAAATATTATCCATGTGATGAGAAAGAAAAGAACCAAATAACAGCAGGTTATGGTGCATACTACTTTTCACATATGTCTTCTGCAAAGGATGATGTATAGAGATGGTTAAGAATTACTATGATAGTAAGCACATCTGCTTTAGAAGAAGCACCTTGCGCCTTTTGGATGCATTTTTCTTCAGGCGGTTCACTGCAGAAATATGTGCTCACCATAATAAACAAATAAACCGATAACAAAAAAAAAATACAATTTGCTCTATTTGAACTTTTTCTTACCTTCTAATGGCAGACCAGCAGAGAAACACAATGTATAGGCCCATGAAACCAGGAGTTAAGAAGCCAGCATTCACCTGTTCCATATCATAATCCATGGATGAAAAAATTGCAGATATCAAATAAAAACAAACACATAAGAACAAGGACTAGTAAGTGCCTACTTCTGTGAGAAACACCTTTTAGGATTTTAATTAATTAACTACTATGATGTCAAAACTTGTTATATCTTTATACGATGGAACCCCAGCTCTTAGAGTGTTGAAGTAGAGCACATGAAAATGAACGCAAATAACGAGACTTACGCACTTTTGGGTGGAGAGAGATGCTGGTCATAACCTGGAGAAGAGCTAGAGTCCATGATATGAAGAATATATTTAAAAGGCAAGACGGTTCTGGTGTGTACCAAACGTACATTAAGATGATCCCGAGTAAGCAAATGATGTATGCAACCGTTGAAAATATCATCACATGAATGTGGCTGTGCTAAGATATTAACATTAAAACCGGTGTGAAAAAAAAGAGATTGAAACATAGTGACCGAAAAATTGCATGTAGCCTTTGATGTCATTTATCATGACTCCAGTCATTGCAGAACTTTTTCTTACCATCTATCGCCATGTTTCTTGGAGTGGCAACAATCATTAAGCCATGTGATGAAACTGATTACGCTAACCAACTGAATTATTAAAAAAACCCTACAAATTAAGCACATTCACAAGTTATTTACAACGCTAATCTCACCCTAACTAGAGTGGTTATGTAATATGCATACCCGGCTCCAAAATGTGCAACCTCAGCTGTTAAAAAAATAAATGAAAGAAAAACATAGTATCATAAAACTAAAAATGTGAGATGTCAAATAAATATTTTCTTAACATGCAAGTGTAGGGGCTAACCAAAACATGAGATGAAACATGACATTTATATTTTGCACTAACCGTAGATTGAAATGATCTCTATAGGAAGAAGAAATGGAAGTATAATTAATGCAAGCATCATGCCCATCTTGGATAGCCATCGCTCAGAGTGCCACTTTTCTCTGCAACCATTCAGCTTTGATGTTCCTGCTGTAGATAGAAACATCACAAAATAGAACATCTAAGAAGAAATTGTCAAGGACGAACTCCCAACTTTCCATTTATAAGTCACTAAAAAATGGAACCTTATTTAAAAAAAAAACACTTTTGACACCCCCCCCTCCCGCCCCAAAAAAAAAAAACTTGGTCAAGTCTGTTAAGTTTTTGGAGGACCACAGATGGTACAATTGATCTGGCTAAAACACTTGTGAAGAAAACATCAAATCCAGAACAGAAAAGTTAATTGAATATACATGAGATTGAAGGATACAAAACATCCAAAGCTAATTCTCAAAACTCCTTCAGTACCCAAACAATCTACGCCACCATTGCAATCTTTTACCCCTGCAACCACATAAATGGCCTCAAGTGTCCATTTTCTTAGAGAGTTTCTCCCACATCGGCTAAATATGAAATCACAAATGTAGAATAAAATCAATCTTATACAAAAGTTAGTTCAAAGGAAAATCAAATCTATTGATGTAAGACCAACTCTTCAACAAAGTTTTTAATTAAAACTCTTCTTGGGAGGGAAAATCAAATACCATTTTCCAGAAATCATCATCAAATGAAAACTGGTGCCCGACATACTTACTCTTCATTTCTTTCATAAGAATTGAGCCATAATCACGAATAGCCCATGCCAACAAGTTTACGATCATGAACATAAAGCCGTAGACGTATCTAGCCATCCAAGGATTGGAGCCATACCGAAACTGGTTTAACCAAGAGCCTTCCTTGATCTTTGTGTTCCGATCATTACTTCCTTGATCTTCCTTGCTTGAAGTGCTCTTCTCCATTTCCTAGCTTCTCATGACACATATCATCAAGTGAGAAGAGGCACACACAAAGCTAAAACCATCTCATTTTTTCCTCTCCATTTGCAAAAACACATTTTTACAATGTTTAGGCATTAGCCTTCTCGAAAACTTAGAATGTGCCAGAGCTTGTAATAGGAAAGGATCAAGGCATATAGTTAAACAAATAAATAACAAATAACAGCTTAGCTCTTACAAAGAAAGATCCCCTTTACTAACCTCTCAATCCAAAGACCGTTAAAGTATTATTTAAGACTCGTGTTCGGTTAACCAGGTAGTCAAAAGCTTTATACGTAGTATGCTGATTGTATTTTATATGCAATCGTTCTGACACAGCTACAATGATATGTTCTCGGCCAGAATATTTTTGAAATTTTTTTTGCCCAAATTTTCTACACTAAAAATAAAGATATTTTATAAATTTGGGCTGGGCCAGGATCAAGCGGCCCTCCCCTATATGCGCCCTCTAGATATGGTTTAGTCTGATAAATGTCTGATGGAAAATTATCAATCCAGGACCTAAAAGTTGGAAAATTTATCAATTCCAGACCTGAAAGATTTTTTTATCAATAAGGGACCTAAAAGATCATATTCTATCAATATAGGACTCAAAAACATAACACCGTTAATGTACATTTAACGATGTATGACGTGGCACAAATAATTAAAAAACAACTACGAGTAAAATACTATGGTACATTCTACGTAAGATTTATTGACAAGTCCATATCTCACTGCACAAGTCGAGGTTTTCCTTTTACGCAGAACGAGGACAGTTCTTGGCAGGAAGAAACTCATATGCTCAGGTTTGTGTTATTTTTACTTCCGTAGCTTTTCTCCCATCTTCATGGAACCCTGCAAATTCCTACAAGGATGCTTGAATTACAATCATCAATTGATTCTAACCCTAACTCTATGTGTCTCTTTTTACTACTTAATAAAATTCAATATTTACCACTACACATCATCATCTCTTAAATCTTTCATTGAAAAACTTTTTGTAACATTAAAGCATATGCTGAAAGTGTTCTTTGAAAAGGCATATATGAAAACGATGTTTTTATTGGATTTCTGTCATATGTGAATTTCACAATGATAGAATGAAAGATGTCCATGCTATCACAATTGAAATATGAGATAATAAAGCTTTCTTGAGTTCTATTTTACTACAACCTATTTATTGAGTTATGTGCTCACCTTTCTTTATTTTGTTTGCAGACAATTGGCTAAACTAAAATACATATACTATTTACAACTTCTAAATTATATATATAGTAGTTAATAGCCAATAGGTTATTGATATTTATTTTAAGTTTGGGTTCTACACTTAAAGCAAATGACCATAGCTTATAGATCATATAACATGTTTCACATTTATACATTTGGTTTTTAGTTTGCTGTATGTCAATATTGAGTATTCTAATTTAAGAAATCTATAGTTGTTTTTTGTACACATTCTTGCTACAGATGGATGCAGGGGATCATGTGATACACGAGTGGATATTAGATGCATCTAATAGTCACGATGATAACCTATCAGTTGGTTACTCATTACCATACGTTGATACAATTGTTGATAACCTGAACGAGGCAACTGAATGTTCTGAGTTCTCTGATCTAGTTACCATACAATCTTTAACCGAGTTGAAGAGCATTCCTAATTCAGGATCTTCAGAAAGTGGAGACGAGGTTGATTCTGGACATATTCAAATTAGCCATGAAGAGGGCAACTTCAGTTTGGATCAATCATTTGCATCCATTGATGACTTTTACGAAGCTGTTAGAAGTTATGGGATTAAAAATATGTATAACTTGACTTATGTGAAGAAAGATAAGATAAGATGTAGAGTGAAGTGTGTTCCGCCCTGTCCATGGCTTATATATTGTTCCAAAGTTGGGAACTTAGAAACATACAAGGTGAAGACGTTCATCTCAAGTCATAGTTGTCAAAAGGAGGGAGTCAAAGAAAAATTTGCTAATAGTAGGTGGTTGGGCAGTATGGCAATTGAAGACTTCAGAGAACATCCAAAAATGACAGGTGAGGAAGTTAAAGAGCTGATACGTAAGAAATATAATGTCACCATTAGCATAGCAAAGGCTTATAGAGTAAAAGCATATGCTCTCCAATCCCTTGATGGAAATGTTGCTCAACAGTATTCCAAGATACCATATTATTGTGAGGAGCTACTTAAGACTAATCCTGGGTCCACTGTAGATTTTTTTTGTCCAAAACATGATCAGACTGGGCCATCAAGATTTGATAGACTATATATATGTATAGATGCTTGTAAAAAAGGATTTGTAAAAGGGTGTCGACCACTGATTGCGATTGATGGATGTCATTTGAGTGGATATTACCGAGGTCAACTTCTTGCAGCAGTTGGTATTGATGGGAATAATGGTCTATTCATTATAGCATATGGAATAGTGGCATCTGAGACTAGAGAGACATGGCAGTGGTTTTTAAACAAGTTACTGGCTGACATTGGACAAACATCTATACATGGAGAGAGATGGACATTCATTTCTGACCAAGGAAAGGTAAGCACTTAACATTTTTCTTAATTTTTTTTACATATATACATGTTTCCGAAAATAGCTTAGAACATTTCTTTTCATTAATAGGGTCTTGTGGCTGCACTTGAAGAAATGTACCCTTCTCCATATCATCGTTTTTGTGTACGTCATATGTATACTAACTTTCAAAAAAAATGGAAGGATGAGCAAGTTAGGTCACTATTTTGGTTAGCTGCGAAATCGACCATAAAGTGTGACTTTGACAGGTATATGACTAAGATTAAGGATAAAGATCATAATGCATGGGAGTATCTTACTCAAATAGGCGTTGAGAGATGGAGTAGAGCACATTTCCAAAATCACGTTAAGTGTCATGTGTTCTCAAGTAGTATCGTGGAGTGCTTTAATGGAGTTATTAAAAAGTTTCGAGATAATCATGTGGATATCCTTATCGATAATATAAGGATTAAAGCAATGAAATTAATGAGGAAAAAAAAGGAAAAGATGAGCCTCAATGGTGGATTAATATGCTCGGCTATATTAAAGAAGTTGAATGCCTATATTATGGAAAGCAATAAGTGGCATGCAATTTCATGTGGGAAGGTTGTATTTGAGGTTACACTTCAACCTAAAAGGTTTGTCGTTAACCTCCAGAACCACACATGTACTTGTAGACTATGGGACTTGACAGGTGTGCCGTGTGTTCATTCATGTGCTGCTATAAAATCTATTAAGGGCAGGCCAGAGCTCTATGTACACAAATATTTTACACAGGAGTACTTTTTCAGGGCATATGAGTTTGAAATAAATCCAATGGGGAATCTTAATTTTATCCCTGAAACTATTAGTGAGCTCATACAGCCCCCATTGTTAAGAAGACCACCAGGGAGGCCAAAGAAACAACGGCACAAATCTTCATCAGAAGGAAGAGATCCCCATAAAGCTAAGAGAAAATATGGAATGATCAAGTGTGGTAAATGTAGACAGTTAGGGCATAATAAGCGGTCATGTAAAGAGAATGAGCAGGTATAGTTATTTAATGTCTTTCTGTAATTTTACTTTGTATATAGATATATCGTAACACCTTTTTGGCAGGAAGCTTTTTGATGATTTTCTGAACCAACATCTTCAAGGAGGAGAGCTAGAATTGTTCTTATACAGGAGAAAGAGCATCATATTGATGATTTTTGAAAGGACGTCATCTTCATATGGCTCATTATATTTTTTAGCATGGTTTAAATTAGGAATGATTCTTATTTGTAAGGAGATTTATATTATGCTTTGGTATGATGTAATGTTTTTTTAATCTAAATTACATTTACGGTATTTAACTTTTTCATATTGCTTTTGAGCCTTAAAGTAGTTATAGTTGTTCAATCTGATACCATGAATGCAATCAAAATGGTTTAAACTATATATAAACGGATTTAGGAGAATGTTATATTATCTTTTAAAGTCACTACACATTAAGATGTAGTACTGGTTTTATGAAATCAAGCTGGTGTATCACAAGTATAGGTTTATAGTGCAATCAAACTAATTTATACTACATAGAAAGGGATATAGGAGAATGTTATTTCGAACTTTTAAAGTCACTACACATTAAGATGTAGTACTGGTTTTATGAAATCAAGCTGATTTATCACAAGTACAGTAATAATAGTATCAAAGTAAAGTTAACAATTCACTATGAAAGCAATACCTTGTGATTCCAGTCTCATTCCTATATAAACTTCTCTTGAAAAAATTCTTTCTTAGGTTATAGAGCTTATGTATGTCTGTAATATGTATAATCAACATAATCTTGACATTTTTTGTGAATTGTGATGATTCAAAGGAAAAAGCAACCCATTTTCAAAGGAAACCAGTCTTAAATTCAAGAAAAACTAGCCTCATTTAAAAAAAAAATATGTTATGTTTTCGAGTATTAATGAAATTTTTCAATAATTTCAACATTTGGACCAACGCTCTGAGAAATAGATACCTTAGTAGAGGGTTCGAAATGTGAGCTTGAGGGTGGAAGACCCACAACCCGATACTTTTTCTAAGGAACAACGAACAACAACTTGGTCTTACTATCTTTTCTGAAGTTGGATTATCTGCATACATAGAAATTAGATTAGTTAATCAAATTATAAAAATCAGAAGTAAAAGTATGATGAACCATGATGGAATCTTTTACCCAAAGATACAACAAACCCAAGACGCTTAGAGTGTCAAAGCACAAATCAACGTAACTCATTTTGGGAATTAGAAATCAAGCTTATTTTTCATCCAATGGCACCGAGTATAAATTGATATGCAGAGCATCATATAGAATGAATTAGGAGAATATTTATTATTGGGTATACAAACTAAAATAGGCAGCCTGAATTTTTTTTATTTGGGGAAGGCTTTGTCTTCTTTCTCTCTTTCCCTATTTCTTGATTATTTCCCTAGAGAAATACTTGAGTGTAGTAGCAAGCTAAAAATGCTACACGAGTAAACCCAACATACTTCGATGTGCGGAGAAGCTCTTTTGGCAAACTAGCGGAAGGTGTCAGGCGGCAGGACCATTTTCTGCTCGTCATTGCTCAGTGATTAATAATCCACAAGATCATTTACTCTGAGCTCTAGTTGGATCTTTTCTAATACTCTACACTTAAAGCTATTACACAGGTTCCATGAAACTCTAAATCACTGGACAGAAATTAAAAAAACCTACAGAGCACTAAATATCAACCTCAGCTAGAACAAAGGTTCCACGAAAAGGGAGCTCTGGTAACCGTTTCCTTCTTGCCTTTTATGGTCGGTGGAGGAAGATAAAGTTGAGATGAGTAAGGGCAGATGTGAATCGCTTGAAAGCCTAGTTAATTTACGTGGAGGTGAAGATGAAGGAGCTTGATAGGCGTGAGTGAAAAATAATGATAGATAGATAAGGTTCTGGAAGATGAAGTGAATTCAACGGGGAAGGTATGTCAGACGTGGATTTGTTTTTAAATGGCGTGGCATTATTTTTATTCCGCATATTTACAGTCATACTCCGTTAACTCCCACATAACGGTGTGAAATATTTAGGTCCTATAGTGATAGAAATATGATCTTTTAAGTCCCTAATTGATAAAAAAATCTTTCAGGTCCGGAATTGATAAATTTTCCAACTTTTAGGTCCTGGATTGATAATTTTCCATGTCTGATCTATGTGGAGTTTTTACTGGATTTTGAATTCTTCCATTTTTAGTCCTCGACTATTGCGCTAGAGACATTTTTGGTACCCGTCTTTGAACATTTCCACATTTAGTCTTTCAACTTTCATGAAAGTTACACTTTGGGTCCTTCAATTATTATAATAGTGTCATTTTTAGTCCTCCACTTATTGTGTCAAAATCATAATGAGAGGACTAAAAGTGTTATTTTGATAATACTCAAGAGACTAAATGTGAGAAATCTTGAAGTCGGAAACTAAAAGTGTCTTTAGCACAATAATCGATGACTAAAAATGGGAAAATTAGAAATCAAGTACCAAAACTGTCAATGACATAATAGTCGAGGGATCAAAAGTGACAAAAACTCGATCTATGTGCATTTTATAACTATTGAAGTCAAATCTGATCGGATTTATTTAAGTCTTGTCTGTTTAAATAAACATCACTAGTTTATGCGGTTAGTCGGTCAAAACAAAAAACACATGTCATGATTTTACTTGCACTCAAGCTAAGCAAATACGCACGTTAAATTCAGACTTTTCCCTTGTCGTTTTGAATTCATGATTTATAAAATTGTATGAAAAAATCGTTCGACCCCATCATGTCTTTAGGCTTTAGCTACCGATTACTATTCAATTGGTCAAAGTTAGGAAAGAATGACCATATTTTTCTAAAAGAAGTTTAGATTCCTATCAAGAGCCAATAGGTGTTGTCAAAATATCAATTTTAAAAAACGGATTCTTTTAGGAAAAAATGATAGTAATAATCCCAACTATTGATGGTCCGCTCATAATAATTCCAACTATGGATTATTTCAGAATAATCCCAACTTTAGTGACCTTCCGTCAATAATGATCCGACGTGACCGGCTATAAATAAATTCTTATAGTTTCTAAAGTGGATGAGAAGAGATATAACAGGTAATCCCTATAAATAATCTCAACTTTTAATTTTTACTCTTAATTTCTATTAAAATTCACTTGTTATAACAGGTAATATCCGGTCATGGACCATTATTGGCGGACGGTCCATATAGTTGGGATTATAAAAAAATAATCAATAGTTGAGATTATTGTTAGCGGGCCAACAATAGTTGAGATTATTATTTTCAATTTTTCTATTATTTTAAGGTTTAAAAAACGCATATTTAGATAAATCATTCATTAATGATTTTTCATGATAGCTACATATATCAAGTATCCGAAAGATAATAGAAAGTAATACATAGAATAATCAACATAGTTATCATTAAATAATAGGATATTGTAATATGATATGAATTGTTACCACTTACCATCTTCATTAAACAAGATAAATTGGAAATGCAAAAATGTTTATTTAGTAATTTTATAGGGAGTATTAATTATTGTATCTCTAGCAATTATCATACATGTATCTGGATACAATTCTATTTGTGTTTTAAATTATTTTCATCCGTTATTTGTGAGCACGTTGTTCCTCATTAATTAATATAAGAGAGTAATTATTATATTATTATATATATGAGCACTTTGCTCCTCATTAATACGGCGTATAAGAGAGTTATTATAATCTTCAGTTCTTAAATAATTGTAACATTATCCTTCATAAAAAATTACAACATTACAAATTTTACATTATTCACGTGCTCTATTTTGACTACATTTTGTTTACCAGTGCATTGTTAGAATTAATTTTCAAAAATATAATTAAATTCTTCTCATTTTAAATTTTCAAAATGTAATTCTTTTTATTTTTTACTGATATGAAATTAAATATATTAATGGTTAAAGTTATGTGTTGACAAACGTGCAAATGAAATCATTGCAACAAAAAATGAATGGAGGAAATAGTACGAAATAAATCGATTACTCTCTGTAGACTGTCATGCCAAAGAATCTATTTTATTTTAAAAAGAAAAGAAAAGTTGAAGTTGAAGCTACATGATATGTAAACATTAAGCAAGCTACATATGCATAATGCAGTGGTGGGTTTTATCCGGATACTTTCAATTAAATCAATAACATTGGGATAGTTTTGAAAGTGAAGTAGAATGCACTCAATGTACGTATATATTATAATAAACCGAAATGGAATCCACACCATAAAAACTATATGTAAAATATATAAAAACTAATTGCAAATGTTTCTAAATGATTGATTAAAATTTCCAAAAACAGATCAGATGCTGTATAGATAATTAAACATCATTGATAATTCTTAATTAGTTACTACGTTTTTCCTCAAATAAAATCTAATTATTTGCTTGCAACCGTCAATATGAATGATTCATACTTGCCTTTTAATACAAGCAACCCAACAACTGTAAATGATTCATATTACAAACGTTAAACTAATTTTTGCTTGCAACTAACCCAACAACTATGAGTATATTCACTTTCCCCCCCTAAATTACATATGCAATATTAGTATCATAGGACCTAAATATGATTAATAAAACATATTTAATTTGTTATAATTTTTGGTAAAGTCAAATTATAAATAAAATTTTTACAGCAATTTCTAAAATCAAAAAATAAATAAATATGGGGCAGGTCCTAGTGTCCTACTAGCGAGTTTGGGTGGGTGAATTTTCTGTTTTCCTTATGTACATGTACCACATAATGTGGATGGATGTTAATTTTAAAACAATGTTAATATTAACTAACAATCCAACTTTTTATTACCATCACAAACTGTCAATATATCCGCTTGATATACTTTTTCAAAATTACATATGCAATATTAGTGTCATACAAAAAATCATAAAAATGTTTAATTTGATTTAAATTTCAAAAACTCGAATAAGAAATAAAAAGCTATACCAATTTCTAAAAAGAAAAATAAATAAATAAATAAATATAGGGCAGACCCCATCAATGTGTTTGGGCGGGAAAATTGGTTGTTTTTCACCTCGCTTTGTATATGATATAGATATAGATATAGATATAGATATAGATATAAATATAGATATAGATATAGATATAGATATAGATATAGATATAGATATAGATATAGATATAGAGGGAGCGGTTCCGGTAAGAACAGATCTTAGGAGAAAAATGAGAACGAATCTGGACCGTTGGATTGTATTATGTGGAACTAAATTGTGCATTTGGTGAAACTGAAATGTGCATTAAATGATATTGAAATGTGCAAAATAAAAATTTAAACTCAAGTGTGCATTAGATGAAATTGATATGTGCGAAAAAAAAGTACAAAAATAACATCACATCATACTTTTTATTCTGCACATATCAGCTTCACCTAGTGCACATTTCAATTTCACGTAATTCAACTGCACATAATGACACTATATCGTACCCTTTGTGATGCACATTTCAATTTCACCTAATGCACATTACAGTTTCATCTAATGCACACTGAATTTCACTTGAAGCAAATCTAACGGTCCAAATTCGTTCTCATTTCTCTCATAAGATCGTGTTCTTATTTGAACCAAAAACTAGATATAGATATAGATATAGATATATAGATGTTATCTAATATATTATAACGAAAATAGTATTATTATGAAAATGTTTTCATCACTAAAACAAAAAAAACTCATTTATTTTTAGAATACCGTTGATGGTCTTTTATTGGCTAAACTAATTCTAAACTTACCAATTTAAGAGTCCATTTGGTAACACTGTTATTCAGCTTATCAGGCGTATTAGCCAACTTTTTCATCAAACGCGTAATTTTTGATTTCGCGCGTTGAAATATGTAATAATAAAAAAAGCAAAGTTGGAGTTGTTTTTCTGGCTGTTTCGGTTGAAGTTACTGTAGATGACCATTTTAGCTATTTTACATATAAATTTTTCTTTACTTTATTAATAAAATATATATTTTAAATTTAGTTTTTTCATAAATCAGCAGAATAAGCCAATACAACCACTTAAGCCAGAACTTCATGAGGCCGTTTGGCAACACTGTTTTTGGCTTATCAGGCTTATCAGCCAACTTTTTTACCAAACACGTAACTTTTTTTTCGCGCGCTGAATTGTATCATAAGCAGAAAAAGTAAGGTTGGAGTTGTTTTTCTGACTGTATTGGCTGAAGTTACTGTAGATGACCATTTTAGATATTTTACATATAATTTTTTCTTTACTTTATTAATAAAATATATTTTAAAAATATTTATTTCTTAAATCAGCATAATCAGCCAATGCAACCACTTCAGCCAGAACTTCATAAATTTTAGCAGAATCAGCCAAATCAGCCGATTTTCGTGCAACCAAACGGGCTCCATAAATTTCAACAAAATCAGCAGATTCGGCGGATTTTAGTGTTATCGCACGGGCTCAAAATAAACGTCGTCTATTTATATTTTTGCTATCAACATAAATAACCCTATCCCACTAAATTGAATATATATGAATTGCGGCCAGCCTAAATCCTAATATACCAAACTTTACACGTACTCCACGTACATTTTTATTCATTATTACGGAGTATTATGGAGGCAAAGGGGCGGGTCATGTGCTACACACGTGACAGGCGGCTAAACCCAAGTACCCAACTGATGATCTGAGGATGCGTGTTGTTTTCATTCACCATTTCTTAGTTACGAATCATCTCTCAATCAAATCCAAAACTTTCGACGCTTTCTTTAGAGTAGAAAATAATGCATGGAAGCAAAATTTTAAAATTATGAGTTTGATAAGCTAAAAATAGGATCACCCACCAAACAAGCTAAGGTCTTCAATTCATAGTTGATTTAAATAAAATCAATCTACTACCGGCCTGAAAGAGATTACTCATTCCATCGTATTTTTTTGTATTCTGAGTTGTTTATGCAAGATTGATAGCAGGGGCAAGAAATTGTGACAACTATATATATACACGAAGGATAAATGAATGAATGAATACAGACAAATAGAGGAGATATAAAATTGTTAGTGGGAAATTTCAAACCTTGATTTATGAGGAGCGGTGAACTAAATACGATTATATTGAAGAGAGGCTATGCTAGGGAAGATCAATTCAACGGCCCAAAAGTTTTTCTAGCGCGCCTATAGCGTCAACTCACTTCTCCGCCCATTCTTCTCTCTCTGTAGAAAATTAAATTATCAGATTGTCTTCCCATCCGCTTAATTTCAGATTCTATAATAAGGTGGAGAGGACCGCTGGATCGCTACAGCACACGCAAACATATCTAACATATTTTAGCTTTTGTTTCTGCATGTGAATTATTACGTACATTTAGCGGACGTTTCATAGGATGTAATTAAAACAATTACTCCCTATTTTGCATGCCAAGTGTAAGGCAGATAAAGTGCGTGCACCATTTTGTTTGATTATTTATGTAAATTATAATGCTTTTTGAAAATTATTTTTTATTGTATCATGTAAAGGACTCTACGTGGGGAGAGATACTAAAATATTTTGCATGTTTTTTATAAAGCATTGCAATGCCTTTGCATTAAACTTAAAAATAAGTTACAAATTTAATCAAACAATATAATCTACACTACAAAAAAACACGGGATTGACACGGAAATTGGGCACGGATTACCGATTTTTCGTGCCAAATAGCTCGTGCCAAAGTTTTTTGGCAAGGATTTGGCATAATCCCTGCCAAAATCCCTGCCAATCCCGTGTTTTTTTGGTAATGCTATTGGGATTAAGTCATCAAAATTACTACAAATAACACAAGAACAGAAAAGTCACCTTTTTCTAAACAAAAAAATACTCCCTCCGTTTCTCAAAGACAGTCACGATTTTACTTCTCTAGGGTTAAGGAAATTAATTTGACTTTACTGTTGAAAACACTGTTTAGACACTGTTTGGCACTGTTTGGAAGTAGATTTCTTTGCCAAATAAGGAAATAAGAGAAGTGTGACTTTGTTTTTGAAACATCCAAAAAGGAAAGTGTGACTTTGATTGCGAAACGGAGGGAGTACTAAAAAGAGTCGGGAGGACCATTATACCCCTTCCCTTGACAAAATGCTACAGTGACCAACATCAAAGTGATTTCATCCCGTAGTGACCACCCGGCCAGTTACTACCGGTGGGCACATTGACCACCGTCGGCCACCTCATCAGTGACCACCGCCGACCACAACCAGCCACATCCGACCACCGGCCAATCCACCGCCGCCGATAGTGACCAACAATGACTACCAATCCCCCGCCGACGACAATGAAGTCACAATGACTACCGCCGAAAACAATGATAATGACCGTCGCCGACGACAGTGACCAACACTGCCTACCAATCTTCCGCCGCTGACACTGACCACCGCCGCCAGTGACAGTTGCTCTACCGGCATTGACTAACGTACACCCGTTACAGTTACTCCCAGACTTACAACGACCTGATTTTGAAACAAATTTAAGAATGACACAACTGTTCATCGCTTCGTCGACACCGCTTTCCGCCACCACGGTCGCCCCATAAACACCTTCTTTCCTCACCCCCCCAATCCCAGCCTCGCCCTACCCTGCAAGGCTTCAACCTACTCCCTCCGCCTCTCCAGTTTCGAACAACCCAACCAAAGCTCCAGCTAGGCCCACCCAACCCCGATCCGCTCCGACCAGCCCCACCAACTCTGGTTCGCTCCACCACAGCCCCAGCCCCACCCAACCCCAAATTTAGCCAAACAATGAAATCTATTGGGATTAAAAGATCAAAATTACTATAAATTAACAATGGAAGAAAAAGTGGGATATTTTTAAATTAAAAAAAAGACAAAAAATAGTTAGGACCATTATACCCCTCCCCCTCGACAAAATGCTACACCAATTAAGCTGCAGTGACAAACGTCAAAGTGATTTCATCACGTGGCGACCACCCGACAGTGACCACCTCATCAATTACTACTGGTGGGCACACTAACAACCTCCGGCCACCATAACAGTGACCATTGTCGACCTCCAGTGGCGACGTTGACCAACACTGCCTACCAATCCCCTGTCAGCAACAGGACCCCGCCGCCATGGTCGCCCCACAAACACCCCCTTTCCCCACACCATAAATCCCTCCCCTAATCCCCATCCTCGCCCCTACTCTGCAAGGCTTCAACTTGCTCCCTCCCCCTCTTCAGTTTTGACCAATCCAACCAAAGCTCCAACCAGCCCCACCCAACCCCGATTCACTCCGACTAGCCCCACCCAACCCTGATCCGCTCCGATAAGCCCCACCGAACCCTGATTCGCTCCTCCACAGCCCCAACCCCAGCCCCACCCGACCCCAAATTTAGCCCAACAATGTAATCTGTTAGGATTAAGACGTCAAAATTACTACAAATTAACACATGGAAGGAAAAGTGACCTTTTTTATAAATTAAAAAAAAAGACTAAAATGAGTCAGGAGGACCATTGTACCCCTTCCCCTTGACAAAATGATACAGCAATTAAGCTACAGTGACCAACGTTAAAGCGATTCCATCACGTGGTGACCACCCGACAGTGACCACCCGACAAGTAACTACCGGTGGGCACATTGACAATCTCAGCCACCACAATAGTGACCACCGTCGACCTTCGCCGACGACAGTGACCAACACTGCCTACCAATCTTCTACCGGCGGCAATGATCATCGCCGCCAGTGATAGTTGCTCTACCGGCAGTGAAACATATGTCAGTTACAGTTACTCCCAGACTTACAGTGACCTAATTTTTAAAACAAATTTACTAGTGACACCACCACTCATCGCTTCGTCAGCATCACTCGCCACAGACTCAACCACCGACCTCCGCCTCGCCGGCAACAAGTCCCCTCCGCCACGGCCACCCCATAAACATCCCCCTGCCCCACACCCTAACCCCCTTCCCTAATCCTCGGCCTCACCACCTGCCCTGCAAGGTTGCAACCTGCCCCCTCACCCCTCTCCAGCTTCGACCAACCCAACCAAAGCTCCAATAAGCCCCACCTAGCCTCGATATGCTCCTCCACAGCCCCAGCCCACCACTGTGTGACCCTATCAACCTCATCCAAAAACCCTAGTCGATTTACCTAATATGAAACATAGTCGTCTGCAATCGAGTCCCCGCAATGAGATTGTAGCCTAGCCGGAGTTATCCTCGTCTGTCCAGCACCGCTTCTGCCCGCCCGCTCGGATTTGCCCCATTCGCTCTCAAACTGAAAGTGAAGATACATGGTGGTAGTTGGGATGGCAGTGCGACAAAAAAGACCATTGGAGGCGGGCGACGAAGACGGAGGGGGGCGATGACAAAGATGGAGGGGGGGGGGGGGACTGTAGATGAAGGAGAGAAGATTGCAGGCTCCAGGAGAGAATGCCATTAATCCTTTATTCAATCTCAACATATTTTCTATTTATTGTTTTGTTGTTGACAAAAGTGGGAAGAACAGAAGCTCTATTCAACATATGTGCTATTTACTATTTCCAAATGTTTGATGCTCTATACTTGTTCATTGTGAAACTAAGCTTAGGACACCAAGTGTTTGTACTCACCAAAAAGGGACAATTTGTGGGAACATATTATATAGGTGATAACAAACAATTAGTACTACATTTGCTTTATGAATGATTGTAAGAAAAGTATTTAACTCGTGCTCTGTAACAAATCTGTGTGGTCTAGACCTGGTCCAAGAATTGAGTTGCTCATTCAAGATTGATCAATTCGGCTTACATAAAACTTTTCGATTTAAATTCGGTTTAGAGTTATGCTAAATTAAAAAGGTTTTTTTCATAAGAAAATAATCAAAGATATAGAAATAAATGATTTTTTTTCTCTAGAGTAAATAAGTTAAACTAATAAGGGATTGAATATGAGATATCTCTCAGAAAATAAGTTTTCAAAATAAAAGGATTCTTTAAAATTCAAATGGATGTTCGTGTATTTTTAATACTTATAAGGAAACATCTTTCAAATCCTTTTCATACAAGAAGGAAACATCTTCAAAGTAAGAGGATGAAATTCTAAGAAAAATCACACACTCAAAACTTTTCCTTGCGAAGATTTAATGCACAAAATGTTTTTTATAATAATAAAAAAGAATCCCTTTTTAAATAACATATGTGCGAATATTTCTCTACAAATAAGAGGATCGAAAATTTCTTAAGAGCACATCAACACACATATTGCTTTCCAAATAGTGGATGGGCTAATCAAGAAACTTCAATGCATCATCAATTTTCAAAGGAAGTAAAATTATGTTATGGAAAGTACATGCAAGGAAAGGATTCTTTGCCTGTAATCTTTCTCTCAAAACTCTAATATAAAACGAGTTGCTCGGCCAAAAGGAAAGGTGTGCAAGTTCAGAAGAAAAATTAGAAATAAAAGAGCGCTAAAATATCTAGATACTTGAGTGAAGAACGCTCCTGCACCATTTAATTCATGTGTCCAAGTCTTTGTTCTATATTGTCATATTCATTTTGTAATTGGATTTTTGAGAAATATCCGAGCATGTTTTCTCCTAGGATTGAGGTGTGACATGAAGATTTTCGAGAGGCTCCTTATTCAAAAGATAAGGTAGCAAGAACTCCACCTATAGAGGTTGGAGTTGGGATGACTCAAGGATAAACTAGGAGAGTTGTTTTAATGGAAATTGTGTACAAAAGACTTCTAATAGAAGTTCTTCAATTTTCTCTGATTGAGGAAGGTCAGTTGTTTTAATCCTCTTGAGCTAAGGATTTTTTCTTCGTTGAATCTTTGTGTGTTTACTTTCCTGTCATCCCCTATATCCCGCACTATAGCTTCACAAAAAAAACTTTCACAATTCTAAACACACAATTCACTCTCCCTCTTGTGTGTTTCAACCGGTTCATAACTGATATTCTAAATACCCCAGACTTTCCTAACGGATAAGAGAACTAGTCCGTTATGATAGCTTTCCCTCGGTTCACTTCACTTCGGCTAAGGCAGTAGCTTCAGGTAAGTAGACTGACTGATATAAGATTGAGCGAGAAAATGACAAAGCCAAGTCTCTCTCTCTCTCTCTCTCTTATGCGCTAGTGAATCATATGTCATCCTTAGAGTGCAGTAGGGATACCTTTAAAGGATTTCATGAACGCATCAAACATGTAGATATTGATTGTTATTTCGTCCGAGAAAGGGTTGAGATTAATGAAATTCAACCACGTTACATCTCAACAACTAATCAAATCGCAAACGTTCTTAAAGACACTTAGTACACACCGATTTCAGTTTATGTGGAGTAAGTTGGGTATTCACAAATATAGCTTGTATTACGGGACATGTATGGCTTGTATAGCCCATCACCCATGCACAATCACCTCACATTCCTTCTCTTACCCACTCTAACATAGATTACCTCTACTCAATGTAATACTTCATAGGTTCTCTTTCAATGGCAATA